GTGCATAGTTTTATTGCAAATTGCAGTGTTTAAGTATAGCATTTCCCACAAATGTGGCATAGTAAATAATTTCCATCTAAAGTTTTGCTCACCAAGATATAGAATTTCTTTTTGGAGATGTATGAAGTAATTTTGAGAGGAAGGGTAGAAATGACAGAATGTATCTGGTAAGGCAGGGGTGGAATTGAGTAGGACAAGTAGCCCTCATTCATTGACAAGTAGCCCTCATTCATTTGGTGATTTTCAATGTAAGATTTCCTATTTTTTCCCAGTGATATTCAGAGCATTCTTCTATATTGTCAGATTGTCTGGGGCTTCTCCCTTAGCCTTCTAGGCTTTGACTCAAGTGTGATGAATCTAAGAGTTGATTCCTGCAACTTTTACCACCGAAGAGGGTGGAGAGAAAACAATATGAGGTCCTTCCCAACTAGGGTCTAGAGAAGGGAAAAGAGGAAGGAGAGCCTTTATCAGTAGTAAGTCTCCCAGATTAAATAAAGTTGTATTTCCTGTGGTTGGATCTCCATTAGCTGTGTCAACTCCTGTTAAAAATGGGCCAGGGCAGTTACAGGTTTGACCAATTCAGAGGTGTCCTGATCTAATGGAAATCATTTGTAAGAAAAGGTCACCCATTCAACATTTCCAATGGACTTTAACCTAACTTTGAGGGGGTATTTCTTATTTGTAGTAGGGCCATGGGAAGGAGAGTAGTCCAGGGGAGGTGGGTCTCTTGAGACAACTTTCTGAGGTGTCTTTTGATAATGTCATTTGTTTTTCTACCTTTCCTGAGGACTGGGGTCTCCAGGCACAATGGAGATGGTATCATATGACCAGTGCTTTTGACTCCCCCTGAGCAACAGCTGCTTTAAATGAGGAGCCACTGTCACTTTGGAGGTATTTAGTGAGTCCAAAATGGGGAATTATTTCATTAATACTCGTACTATCTCAGAGGCCCTTTCTGTTTGATATGGAAATGTTTCCACCTAGTTAGTGAAGGTATCCACCCACATCAGCAGGTAGCAAGTGCTCCTTGATTTTGGCATATGGGTGAAGTCTATTTGTGAGTCTTCCCCTGGATAACTTCCCATTCTCTGAGCTTGAGGGGGAAGAAGCCATCTGTTGAAGGTGTTTTTAAAGACTGACTTCGCAAGTATGAACAACCTGCTTAACTGTTTTTAGTAGTTTCTCCCCTAAGAATATCCTTGGACACATTGGTAAGTTTTATCCTTCCCTATATGAAAAGTTTGGTGAAGGGTTTTAAGGACCTTCCACTGGTTGGAGGGTGGCAAGTGGAGCTTGCCATCCTCTGATTGCAACTATCCTAAGGGCTGAAAAGTGCATCCCTAAGAATTGGCCCATTCTATTTCTGCAGGGGAATACTGAGGCTTTATTCCCTTGATGGAGCCCTCCCAGATTAGAGGCGCTTCGAGGGTGTTGGCACCCTGAGGCTTTTGTGCTGCTGACTTGGCTGCCTGGTCGGCTAACTTGTTTCCTCAGCGATTTAATCCATTCCTTTTTGGTGTCCTTTACAATGCATTACTGCTACTTTTCATGGGAAAAAAAAAAACAGGATAATAGCCTGTTAATTTCCTGATGGTATTTTATGGGAGACCCATTAGCAATGAGAAAGTGTCTCTCCTTCCAAATGGTGGCATGAGCATTGAGGGTAAGAAAGGCATATTTGGAGTCCATGTAAATGTTAGCCATTTTTCCTTTGCTTAATTCAAGAGCTCTTGTGAGAGCTACAGCTCAGCTAATTGGGCACCTGTGTCTGGTGAGAGAGACGTGATTTCAATGACACTATTCAAGGTGACTAATATGTACCCTGCCTTGTAGACTCCCTCTTCCACAAAAGAGCTCCCATCTTGCAAAGAGGGTCCAGTCTGAATTTTCTAGGGGAGTTTCCCTGAGATCTTCCCTGGCTGCATAGGTTTGTATTACAACTTGCTCCCAGTCATGTTCAGGTTTCCTCTGAGAGGAAGGTGGCTGGATTTAAGTTTTTAGTTGGACTGCAGATCTCTCTAGTAGTAGATCTTGGTATTTAAGGAGGTGGCTTTCTGTTGGCCAAAGGCCTCCTCTAGAGGACAGCAATCCAGCCACAATATGTGGTGTGTTAAGCTATGCCCCAGGGTTAATTTGGTGGCTTCTGGCACCAACGGGGCCACTGTCGCAACTTTCTGGAGGCAGGCTGGCCATCCTTCAGCCACTAAATCCAGTTCCTTACTTAGGTAACCCATTGGCTGTTGAGCTGGTCCATAGGTCTGAGTTAAAACTCCCAGGGCCATTCCCTTTCTTTCTAACACCTGAAGACTTGAATGCCTTCCCTATTGGAAGGCTAAGGGCTGGTGCCCCAAGCAGGGCTTGTTTTAACTGGTTAAAAGCTCTTTTTGCCTTCAGATCCCAAATCAAGGAATGAGTCTTGCTGCCTGAGTTTCCTTTATTAGTTAGTATGAGGGACAAGCCATTTCCCCATACCCAGGTATCTGTAGCCTGCAAAATCCTGTAATGCCCCCAAATCCTCTTAGCTTCTTGAGGGTTTTAGGGAGGGGGAAGGATGAAGTGGGCTTAATTCTTTCTTCTCCCAATTCTCTAGTCCCTTCAGATAATACTAAACTCAGGTACTTCCCTGAGGTTTGGCAAAGCTGGTCTTGGATTTTGAAACTTGATATCCCCTATTAGCTAAGAAATTGAGAAGGGCCTCAGTGCCTTCCTGAGAAGCTTTCTCAGTTAGGGCACAGAGAAGACTGCCATCTAAATACTGCAGGAATTTCTCCTGAGAATGAGATAATTCAGAAAGGTCTTTAGACAGTGCTTGTCCAAACAAGTGAGGACTGTCCCGAAACCCTGTGGCAACACCGTCCAGGTTAACTGGTCAGTCTGGCCAGAAAGATCTTTGAAGACAAACAGGTATTGTGAGTCAGGGTGTAGTGGTATGTAGGAAAAAGGCATCCTTTAGGTCTAGCACTGTGAACTACTTAGATCCTTCAGGTATCTGGGTTAGCAAAGTACAGGGATTAGGGACTACTGGATGAATTGGGACTACGACCTCATTAATGAGGCAGCAGTCCTGAACTGGCTTTTATTCCCCACTGGGTTTCTGCACCCCTAATATTACAGTGTTGCGGGGCTTTTGCAGGATTTGAGGAGGCCTTGCTTCTTTAGATTATTAATAATGACCTCTACCCCATTTCTGGCCTCTGGCTTCACTTATTTTCCTTGGTTAGGAAAATAAGTGGTATCCTTAAGATGTATCTAGACCAGTATAGCAGTTATAGCCCGGCCAATTTTCCCCTGGCTTGCACACACTTCTGGGTTAATATCAGTTTCCACCAAGGGAAGACAAAGAGTTTGTCCTGGGGCCATAAGGATGCTGGCTACCATGCAAACTAAAATATCTCTACCTAATAAGGGAGTGGGACTCTCAGGCATGACTAAAAAGGCATGTGTAAATAGTAGGTCCCCTTAATAAAGGGTTGAGAAAAATACCAACTTGGAAGCTTTCCTGAGATGCACTTCATGGGGTCACACTGTGGAAAGAGGAGAGGCTTGGATTGGGGAGGAGAACAGAGACTGCCTCCAGCATCCAGAAAAAGGTTTACCCTCTGTCTTTTAATTTCCAGTATCACCCGGGGCTCCTGGGCAGTAATGGCAGTTTGGGCCACTGGATCCAGGAAACCGAGCCCAAGGACCTGTCTCACAAAAGTCCTGGAAAATTTGTGAGACCAATTCTAGACCCAGTAACCTATGTCTCTGGGGGCAGTCTGAACTCCAGTGGTCACTGCTGCAGGTTAGACAGGGTCAAAGTAGCTTCTTCTTACTACCTGGACAGTTCTTCTTCAAGGGCCCTGGTCTGCCACACACTGATAGCAATTAGTGGATGCACCTTGGATATCCTGGACTTGACAGGCCTGTAAAGCAGTCACTAGATAATACATTCTTATCTTGTGCTTTCTTTTTCTTGGGCCTCCTTCTGATACTTATTGTAAAAGACTGAGGTAGCCCCTCAGGAAGGTCTCCAGATCTGGTCCTATAGCCAGTTTCTGTAATTTTCTTCTAACATTAGGGGCTACCTGAGTAATAAACTAGTTTTTTTAAGATTAGTTGTCCCTCAAGTGAGTCAGGAGACAAGGAAGTGTGTTTTATAAAAGCTTCCCTCAGCCTTTCCATAAAAGTTGAGGGAATTCTCATCTGGTCTCTGATCTATCATGGACAGCTTAGACTAATTAAGAGGTTTGATCCTAGTTTTTCATAGGCCCTCCAATACGCACATTAAAGAATGTTTTTCTTTTCCATTCATCTGTGGGGTCACTGGGGTCCCTGTCAGGGTGTTCTAGGGGTATTGCCTATCTCCCTATTGGGAATGGTTGTTCCATAATTTCCTCACCTTCCTTATCTCCTCTTTTCCTTTTTGGCCTGCTGTGAGACACTTGTTGTTCATCCCCAAATTTCTGAGCTGCCTGCAGAGCTGTCTGCCTGGTTTAAGAGTAACATAACATCTCTCCATGTGAGGACACACACCTGGCCCAGATTTTGGAAAGCCTCTATATACTTGTTGGGGTCATCGGAGAACCTACCCATGTATCCTTTTATCTGACTAAGGTCTTGCAATGAGCAAGGTACCTGAACCCTAGTGGCACCATGTTCATTGGGCATTTCTTGCAGAGGTAAAAGTATAGCTCAGGAAGTGGGGAGTTTTGGAAGTGGTGTAACTGGAGGAGCTGATGGTGCAGTTGGAGGAGGGGGCCCCAGATAAAGGGGACAAGAGTGGCTGAGAAACTTAATTGTTGTCTCAGAAAATTCCCCAGAAATTTGTTGTTTTAGCTTTGGAGAATCATTCCTCATGGGTCTGCCTGATGTGTCTGCTAAAAGAGCTGGGTCAGTTGTGCATCACTTGGAGAAGTCTGGGTTGTCCTGCAGGGTAAAGAAAGCCTGTACATAGGGAACCATTTTCTCTTCCAGCTACAGAAAAAAATCTAATTATTAGAGAATATTAAAATCAAGACTTGCCTCAGAAGGCCAGGTTTGTTCATCCCCAAGCTGGAAAGAAGGCCACATCCCTGTGCAAAAGAATGTGAGCCACTTTTTCTTCAGTCTTGAAGTCAAAGAAGTTCCAGGGTTTCAGAATGCACTCCAGAGAAGTGTAGGCTGAAAAAGAGATAGAGGGAAGGAAAGGCATCCCTTAGTTTTCTCTCTCCTTTTGGAGTGACCCAAGTAGGGAAGAAAGTAGTGGGGGCATCCACCCTACTATCTTCCTTCTTTGTTCCCTGGGCCCTGGTATCCATTAATGGTGCCACCCTGAGATGCGAGTGTGACTTCCATTTATGGACCCAGAGGAGTGGGTCAGGCAGGAATAGTCACACTTACCTGCTTGAGACCCTAGTCCTCTGCTGATAACTCCCTTTCAATTCCTTAGATTTGTGTGGCTCGTGTGTCCCCCCATAAATGGATCTTGGGAGAAACTATATAACAGTTGCATCTGGGCCAGGGCCCTCAGTGAAGAGAGTATTCTGGGTTGGGTGTTATATTCTACTATTACGGCCCGAGCTAAAGTATTTATCCTTAGGTCACAGTTCTGATTGACTTCCAAGCATAGAATCCCTTCTCTGTTTAAATGCCATTCTAGTCAGAGGCAGAAGAGGTGTCTCAAAATGCCATAAGGATCAAATGACTGTCTTTCTGTTGATGAAGATGATATTGAGGCCAAAATCTAGATTAGGAGGACCTCTTGCTCCTTCATGTCATAGACACTTTTCCTGTTCACAGAGAGGGCATAAGGCCTGGTCTTTAGTGGAGGGGCTCAATAAGGAAAAGAGTTGGAAAACTAGAGGTTTTTGGCAAAGAGCCAACAAGGTTCCCCATGGAGAAGATTCCCATTCTACTAGGTGAGCATTGTAAACCTTGAAATACCAGGCTGTAGCTTTGTTTCCAAATGGTCTCCAGGAAACAGGTTGAGAGAGGTCTATTTTGTGACAGGCTGTCCCCAAAACATGCCTTCCAATAGGAGAAAGTTAGTTTGCCTCATAGAAAGAATATCTAGTTCAAGTGGGCAGTGCTGGCTCCTCACATGGGAAAATAAACAGCCTAAATGAAGAGGGGCCACTCCCTGGGAGGGAAATAGACCCTGTCCAGCCCCAGGAACTGTCATCATTGGGAGTTAAATGATCCCTTAGACCCAGATTGTGAAATCCTCCTGTCTCTAAAAATTTAATGAAACAGTCCAGGCTCGTAGGCTCACACCTGGAATCCCAGCATGCTGGGAGACTGAGGCGGGTGGATCATGAGGTCAAGAAATCGAGACCTTCCTGGCCAACATGGTGAAACTCGGTCTCTACCAAAAATACAATATAAGCTGCAGTGTGGTGACGTGCACCTATAGTCCCAGCTACTTAGGAGACTGAGGCAGGAGAATCGCTTAAACTCAGTAGGTGGAGGTTGCAGTGAGCCAAGATTGCACTACTACACTTCAGCCTGGTGATAGAGTGAGATGCCGTCTAAAAAAAAAAAAAAAAATCAAAACAGGAATCTCTTAAACCACATTCCCAGTTGCCAAGGCACTTGCTAATCCTGCCTAACCGGCAGTTTCCTTTCCATGACAGGAAACTGGGTTTGGAGCAGAGCCAACATTCTCAGCACCCTGAGGGCACTGGGGTATTAGCTAAATCCTTCCGAGCAAGCCTATCAATATGTCCTTAGACCAGTAACAACTCTTGTCTTGTTTAAATGGCCAACAGATGCCTGGTGTTTCTCTAGAAATGAGGACCAGAGGCCTCGGAAGAGAAAGTAAAGAGTTTGGGTTTGCTCCTACTCACCCTTTTGATGAAATCCCAGATAAGCCCCCCAAAATGAAACCAGCCTTATTGTCTGAGATATCACCTGAAGTTCTTGGTCTCATGGCCAAGGAACTCAAGGACCTAGACACTCCAAACATGAGGTTAGAGCAGAAGTTTAATAAGTGAAAGGAAGAAAACTCTCTGGAGCGGAAAGGGGTCCCAGAAAGATAGGTTGCCATTTTAGAGTGAAGTGCAAAGGTTTTTATAGACAAGCAGGATGGAGGGTAGGAGTGCTTCACTTGCATAAGGCACAAATTTCTCAGTTCCCGGTCCCCCTTTCTAGTGTTTATGCAGGCTTCTTAGCCTGAGTTACTCCATGTTGTTTATCTCTTCCTGCTGCACAGGTGTAAAAAAGACAGGGTAGTGGGCAGGCAGAACATTCCAAGGTGAATGTGCCTGGTTCAGGGTAGCTCTTCTTATCAGTGTTGCTGCAGGCACTCCGCCTGCCCAAGCCTCCTTTGAGCATTTCCAAGAAGGGAGGAGCCTGTGCCCACTGTATGTCTGCACATACCCTCTTAGGCTGCTTTTTGTCAGAAGAAAGGCTGCTTTTTGTTATAAGGGAATTCTAGCAAGGACCCTTACCCTACCTGCCTAGTTGATTTCTCTCTTTCCTCTCACATTAGCATATGCAAAAGTAACTTACCTCTCTTTTGTTTACCACAGAATTATCAGAGTCTGACACCGTTCTTGGAATTTAGTAGATTCTCAAAATATATTTATTTAACAAATGAATGAAAAATAGACAGTAAATAAGTCTAAAGGGAAATGCTGACCATTATGTAATAAGTGTGTATTTAAAATATTACAAAAAATAATTACCTTCCTTTCAGTGTTGTTAAAACCAAAACAATTTTAGTCTAAATGTTGTAAGTCTATAAAGTGTTTCCTAAAATTTTACTGAAAATTTTATTTGGAGACATCTTACAAAAAAACTGTGAATGTCTATGAATTTTTATTTTTCATGCTTATTGTTCCTTTATTATGAAAAAATTATTGTTAGTTGAGTTATTTTTCTTGACTTTTTTCAGCCTTATTTAAGTGTAACATAAATAAAACATATACATTGAGGGTAAACAACTTGATGTTTTGATATACATATATATTGTGAAATAATCATCACAGCAAACTAATACACATACTCATAAACTCAGAGGCTTGTGCAGGGGGAGTGCCTGCAGCAGCACCGATAAGCAGGGCTACCTTGAACCAGGCACATCCACCTTAGAGTGTTCTGCCCACCCTCCATTGCCCCCTCCTCCATCTTTTTTTTAACACATATGCAACAGGAAGAGATAAACACAGAGTATTGTGTGTTTGTGTGAGGGGTGAATATTTAAGACCTATCCTTTTATTATTTTGGGGAGGAGAATATGGGGAGATGTTGTCAACCTGTCTTTAAATGGTCTGTGAACAACCATCTTCAGAATTACTCAGGGGATCATTAAAAAGCTAATTCCTCAGCGCTACCCTGGAGCTACTCAACTTGCGTCTCCTTTTGTAAGAATCATCAACTGATTACCAAAAAGGAAATATCCATGTTTATTTCACACAGAATGCAAGCAACATAAGTGTATTTCCTGAGTTCAAAAACCTAAGATATTTAATTGAATTTTATTAGATGGACATTAACAAACTACAGTAGTTACATATTTAAATGTTTGCTTTAATTATCTATCTCAGGATATTGTGCATTACTTTTACAGGTCATTACAACTTCTTGGCAAAAAGAGAGATTCTTCTACTAGTCATCTAGTATCAAGTCTTTCATTTAAAAGTTGAAAGCCTGGCTTTTTAAATAATCTTTAAATTGGCTTAATCTTGGGAATTGAAATACTTTTGTTTAATACAATAGCTGAAATCAGACTCCCCTGGGCTATTCTGCTCTTCTATTTGAATTGCAAGAAAAACACATTTCAGCTAATCTTTCTGCCTCCGGTTTTGGATGATAGGTGGAGATGCCCTACAAGAACTCAACAATAAAACTACACCCTGTGACTTCTTATTTTGAAACCTCTTTTGTTGAGAAACAAATAAAAAGAAACCTGACATTTTATTTTACAGCATTGCTCAGCTTTCCTACTGATGTTTTGGTTTGTTTGTCCCATTTTAATAGTAAATCCCTGAGCAAAATAGAGTTTAACTGTAACACGTGGATTACTTAAACAGCTGTCTGCAACTGTGACATTCCACTAATGCGGCTATCCTCGGGAGAATGTGTTTTATTTATATCAATGGAATGATTTGAGTGATTGGCTCTGTGCAAACCTTAATCTTTTGTTCCTCTTGCTTGTATCTTTATAGGTAGGGTGAACAAAGGGAGGCCAGGATCTTTCTCACTTTGCTAAAAAAAAAAAAAGATCTATTTGTCCTTGACCATTTATAATTAAAGCTCATTTTGGCTTATTTTTCAGAATTTAGATTTGGCATAAAAGTAATATATGCCCAATTCTGTGATGCATTCTACGGTTTCTCAGTAGCCTAGTTCTAATCTATATCATGAAATATTTATTAATTTATTTACAATCTATTTTTCAAGTCCCATACTACCACTACCATATAGAAGAAAATCAATAGCATTTTCAATAGAGCGCCAGTCTGCTGGATCCCAAAATTCTCAGCTAGGTAGCTACAGTCATCATTGAAACTTCTGGTCCATAGCAGGTACTTAATAAAAATGTAAGCTATTAATAATCATTATTAGTAGGAAGAAGGAACGCAGCACAGTTCCCAACAGAATGTGTTTGAGATCCTACAACCCTCAAGACGTATACTCAGGAAACAATGACTTCCATGAGAAAGCAGTAACTGGTATGCATTCCACCGGGAATATATTGCTCTTTTACTTGGTCAGAAAAGTTGAAATCTGTCAGGAAGAAAATAAGCCCCAAACGGCAATAAAAATCACTAAGTTTTGTTTTATTTCTTAGGTAGATCAAGGGTTATTCAGAGTAACTCTATATACATTTTATTGCATTGTTTTCATTTCCAAATTGTCTCGTATTATTCACACAAAATCATCAATGTTCATCGCTGTATCTGTTATCTCTCTCTCTCTCTCTGTCTCTCCCCTTTCCTATTATTCCAAAGGGATAAACTGAACATACCCATATTATACAGTCATACAATTTTATAATATATGAGTTGTAAGAACAAGAAAACTCATCTTCTATAAACATCTAGTTGATTTCTGAATATCCTTTAAAACATACTTCATAACAAATTTCCTAAAATTAATTGCTCTCATGATAAATATGCCTATATATCTAAATGTGTTGCATTTCATTCTGAATGTACATCTATTATTCTCAGGACCCCTCTGCATGTAATAAAAGTGATTAAAAACTAACTTTGGCATGTGGTTATATTGATTAAACCTCTTTTAAGATTTTTCACCACAAAATTAATTTTAAAATCTTATATCCCAGAGAAAACTTAATGTTCTTTGGAGAATAAATTACATCTTTAGATTTCAAAGACTAACTAACAATAATCACATTTCCTCTATCATTGATTTTCTAGGATTGTAAAACACAGTTACACATTTAATTAGTTGCCTTTTTTTAGTTTTCTGATATTATTTTATTTAAAAAGTATAAAATGGACAGAAATATAATCTGAAACTGACCTGATACAAGACAAAACAAAGCATGCATGATAGTTAATAGATAGCTATAAAGTTACAAGCATAAATAAGCTTAATATGAATTTTTAGAAATGCTCATCTAAGACCATTTTAATTTTTTCTTCAACCCAAACCTCTAGAATAATGCCACTGCCATTATTTCAAAGTACTAACCAAAGAGTTTCTTTTATTATTTCAGAAACAGTATAAGAACCATTTCAAATATAACCACCTACAGTATTCCATTACCAACAATCACAAATTAGCCCATTCATCATCTTCTTTTAATGTAATCCTTTATCCAGGTGTCAATTCAGATAACAATTTTACAATTGAAGTCAATGTGAAAATTTTTCCCTTATGAGAAATATGAATTCGAGAGGAGGATTTTATAAATTAAGACCAACTAAACTTTATATAATTTCAAACCCCTGCAGCTGCACTATAGATGCTCAAATCCCACTGATATCAAAAAGAGGTCAGTTTATGGAAATGCTCTGCAGGCATGCAGTGGCTGAATAACTGCAAAATTCCTGTGAAACGCTATTTAGGAAAGTAAATGTTAGAAGAAAATATCATAAATGGAGTATTTTTGAAACCTTCCTAAAAGCCAAAAAACAGGCCAAAGTAAATTAGCAATCATCCAACCAAGCACACAAACAAAAAAATCCAGAACAGCAATGTAGGTACATGTAGAGTTTTAGCATGTAAAAGTTTTCTACAAATGATTATTCCTGGCATAATAGACTAAATCCTGCCCCAGTCAATTCCATTAAAAACAAAACAAAACAACAAACACTTATTTTTTTTTTCACATTTTGCACAGATTTCTAGGTAGAAATAATGTACTAAATGTCACATGGTCAGAAATTATTTTATAATCACTTTTATGATTGAAGGTTTTTCTTTATAATTGCTTTTGTTTTAAAACATATTCCTGTATTATGGTTACTCCTTCAACAAATGCTGCACTATTTCCCCTATTCATCACTTCAAAATATGTTCTCAGAATTCCCCTTACTCTCTTTAGCTCTTGACAATCTGCTTTATCTTTAATCCCTAATAATAAGACTTAAATATTGTACTGTTTCCTGTTTGCCAGTAGGATTTCAAGATCACCTTCCCATCCAAAACTTATTCAGATGTCCATTGATGACATCACATACACATTAAGAAGATCTGGAGAAATATCTTTTGAGGTTTTTGGGGAGGGAAAGTATCCCAGCTGATTCCTCTGTCTGGAGTCAAAGGAGTTACTTTGGTTTTCAGTGGTTAGAAGGTTCCTGGTATTAGGGTTTCTCTAAGGTGAGCAGGACAGGAGGGGCTCTCCTCCACACTCTAGAAGTGTTGTGTGATGGTCTGGCAATTATCACATTGTAACGGGACTAACTGAAGCTGGATTCCCTCATTCCCACATGGAAAGTCGAACCCAGGGTGAAAACCAAGAGTCCTAACCACTAGACCACCGCAGAAGCACAGTAGCTGCAACCTGAACTTAGGCTCTTGGACTTCCTAACCCCAAAGAATGGGGAAAGGGGCCCCAGAGATGGGTAAGTGTTACCATCTATATAAAACTTGTGGACCCAGAGTGTGCGATCATGCAGTTTATTAGGCTGAGTGAAAGGACAGTTTCCACACTCTTGTGGAAGAGGATCCAGAGAGAATTCCAACCCAGGATGGGGCGGCTAGAGTTTTTACCCGAGTTATTCCCGCCCCATTCATGTTCTCATCCAATAAGAGGGGTTCTTTCAAACTTCCTCTGGATTGATTGATCTTTGACTCCATTACCGGATTGGCTACCGTCATATAACTCTGAGTCACAGAGCCCCCACCTCTAAGAGCTGGAAGGCGGGGGGAATAGAAACAAAGTTCCTATCTGGCCTGCCAGAGGCGGGAAAGTAGAAACAAAGGGCCCTAGCAGCAGCCAGAGGGGGGAAAACTGGAGAATTCCTGCACTTGAAACAACGGCCCCCAGCCCACCCCGGAAGTCCTTTTAACACAGTCCCCACAGCGTTACCCCTCTAAAAATGATAATCTGGCAGTGCTAGGGAGAGGCCATTTCCTGATGGTCCATACCTGTTAACATCAAAATGTTAATTGAATGCAGTCCCCAGGGAGAAGCAATTTCTATGGTATGCGATGTAAAAGACAAAAACTGTGAAGTACGATCTTCTGGGCACACTCTACTAAAAAAGGAAAGAAAGCCTCATATGGGCATGCATATAACTCCCTAAACACACTGCGTGTGCTCAATTCCAAAAAGTAACAAAAGCACCGGGCATGGAAAGCCCACCCTAAGAGAAGAATCATGGGAAAGAGGCGAGCTTATAGAAGCCCTAGCATCACAGTTAAGCAGGGCACTTGAGCTTCTCTCTTTAACCTTCACATGCCTGCTTGGCTCTCTTCCAAGCACACCTTTTCTTTCCAGTTCTATGGCCTTTTAAAATAAATTTCCATTCCTGATTTGGAACTTACCTTGGTCTCTTTTTCTGACTTATGCCCCACAGTCGAATTATTTCTTCTGATGAGGCAAGACTGAAGTTGCTATAGACTCATACCGCTACCAGTAACTCAGTGTAACTCGGATTTCTTCCACTGGTAAAAAAAAGGGACTGGAGTTTGTGAATTTGGCACCAACATAAGGATCAATGGGGGCTTTCCTATCTGCCTGCACAGATTTGGTTTGCCCAGATAAGGGGCAAGTGGAAAAGGGGGCGGCATGAAGCCTCAAAGCTGTTAACAATCAAAGATCAAAATGGAGTCAGATACTTTATTACCTATTGAAGCAGCTTCCTCTGTAGAACTCATGACTTCTAGATGCTCACAGTCTTCATTATTCCTTCACGACATGCTTCTGCGTAATACATAGTTCTCTTGTTGGTTAGCTAGAGGAGAAGGGATTGAGGGACTGTGTTAGAGGAACTTCCTGGATCAGCTAGGGGCTTTGTTTCAACCGCAGGAATTTTCCCCGCCTCTGGTCAGTAGAGCTTTGTTTCCAGAGAAAGAATTTTCCGACCGCTGGCTCCTAGGGGCTTTGTTCAAGTGCGCGTACTTTTCCCGCCTTTGACCCCTGGAGAAAGAGGCTCAGTGACTCAGGGTTTGAAAACAGTAACCAATCCGGTAAAGGATTCAAACATCAGTTAATTCAGAGAAAGGTTGGAAAGATCCCCTCTCATTGGACAGGAACAATGGGGAGGAAATAATGCAGGGGTATAAGCTCCAGCCTTCCAATCCTGCAGCGGCACCCCCTCCAGGTCCCCTTCCATGGCGTGGAAGCTGTCCTTTCACTCTGCCTAATAAACTGTACTACTGCACACTCTTTGGGTCCATGAGTTGTATTTAAGCAGTGACACTCACCACAATACTAAGGCCCCCTTCCCCATTTATCTGGGTTGGGAAGGCCAAGAACCCAATCTGGTTGCAGCTAATCTGGTTACAGGATGACTGTTCTCACCTGGGTTAGATTCTCATACTATAGCCAGGTGGAAAGGAGTCATATAGAAAATGGCAGCATTTTTGAGTGATGTATAGTAGCAGAGAAAGATAAAATGAAAAGGGTTAAAATTCCCAGTGTTAGTGGGAATCTTAGCAAGAAAATGAAATGAATGACTGCTAGTTCTTTAAACTGTCTACTATATTGGTTTCTAGAAGAATAAAAAAGTGACTACTAATCCTATGTCATTAGCTGCATTTTCTTTCACGCTTCTGGGTTTTTAAATAAATACTCTCCCTTCAGATATTTTCTATGTTCAGTTATTTGATATATTTTAATATATTATATTGACATTTGAATGTTTTACTAAATGTCTATGCATATTGATGTGAGATAATTCTCCCCTCCTCTCCCCTATTTCCTTAACAATGTGTGAAAAAGACATTAATTGCCCATTGTTGCAAACTATTTTTTTTTAAAGAAGGATGCTAGTATAGCAAACAGCTTGGGGAAAAAACCCTTCTGAGCAAAGTGAAGGCATGGTAACTGTACAGTGTAATAAAGAAAATGTATCCCTCCAGAGTAAAGGGTAGGCATGTTTACTGTTTATTATGAAGGTTTCAGATTCCCTAAATTCAGAATCCCTTTCTGTATCTAATTCACTGCATGGACAGGTATCACCTCTCCCACTTTACATTGCTTTGTGGGAATTAAGATTTGAGGAACTCTTAGAAAAAGTTTCTATCTAACTATTAAGCATTTGCGTGTGTGTGTGTGTGTGTGTGTGAGCACACACGCGCGTGTCCACCGTTGGAGATTATCTCTTTTTACTCAAATCCAAGAGAAAGAGAGAAAGAAAAAGAATGAGTTAGATCATTTGTAAAATTTATTTTAGCTTTAGTAGTTTATGTACACATGAGCATATTTATACCTATGTCTGTACGTATGTCTATGTATGCATGTAATAGAGAGATACATCTATATCTGCATCTATTGATGTCTATGCATCTATAGATATATCTGTATCTATATCTACTGGTTGAATCTATAATTAAAAATTAATGACATCAAAAACAAAAACAGGGTGCCCATAGAAGTGAATGGCTAGATGATGAGGTGATATATCACATTGGATGGTTGAATATCAAAAACTATATAAAATTATCAAAAGTGATATGAATAAACACCAAAAATGATACTTTTAGTGATTAATAAAAACAAGTCATGTCTATAACTGTGGGATGTGTTTTCAGGCAATTCTGGAAAAGCCAAGCCAAAAATGTTTGAAGATGTTCAAGGAAGTGAAGTACAGTGTAGGTGGAATACAGTGATTAAGAGGTGAAACAATGTAGGTGGTTAAGACCCATGATGAGATAAGAGTTCTTAGTTGCCCTCAAATATGCTCTCATTTGCTTGTGTTGACAGCATCCCTAGATTTTCTCTGGCAAATCATTCCACTTTGCTTTCTTAAAAGAAGCTCTTCAAGTCAACTTGGGCCATTAGGATGAGGATCAGCTACAAGAGATGACAGATGGGGGAGCTAAAAGGACCATGAGTTGCCACTAAATGTCATATTGTCAACTCTGGACTACCTCTGGATTTTTAAGCAAGAGATAAATACCCTCTATTTTGTTAAGTTAATTTTGATCTTTTTAATTATCTACTCTGAAAATGAATGAATCAGAAATTATACTAAATGGCATAAATATATGAGCAAAGAAATAATCAGTTTAACAAATATTCAATGGAATTTTGACAACTGCTACATAATTTAATTATACTGTAATACCTTTCTTATGATATATTAACAGCACATTGTTAACATGTATTTTCCTCTGTGAAAATGATACTTAATATAATGCCCTGAGTTGACAAATATTTTTAGTTCCATGTTTCCTTCCTGCAGGCATTTAAAATACGAATACATTTAAAGTCATTTCACTTCTCATACTTCTTATATGTTCTTTATGATGCAAAAATTTACAGCTGCATTACTAATAATTTATGGGAAATACAAATTAGAGGTAGTTGGAGGAAAATGCAACAGAAAGCAGGGAAAGGTAATGAAGGCCATCTTGGAAGGAGAGAGGCTGTTGGAGTGGAAGACAACTTAGAAAGTATAATTTGAAGGGTTCCAAATATTGTCGCTGACCTCCACTGTTTATCTCACTGGTTAGCAACCAGAACCTAAAATAACTATGAGATACATAATTTTCGTATTATTTCTTTAAAACCTGTAAATTGGGAATGTTATTAAGAATCGAATTTATTAATCCATAAATGTTAATTATTCAATATTCTTTGTTCTTGGCAACTTTTCTCTTTATCGTTTCTCTATCTTGTGCTACGAACTTTGTCCTCTCTTTTGTTGTCTTTCCTTTACTATCCTGTACGATGGGCATTTTCCTCTCTTTTGTAGTCTTGCCTTCATGTTTTGTGTATAATTATCTACTAACTGTTTACGGGGTTAAGGGGCTTCCCTTGACTTTTCTTTTCCCTTTAATGGTCACTCTAAATCTTTGCTCTCCTTAAAAGCCAAACTAAAGAAAAAAATAAAAAATCATCAATCTTCATTACTAAACTCCCCCTGACTCATTAATTCAATCTATGTTTGCTATCACTACTTTCAAAGGACTCTTGCTAAGGTGAACAATGACTTCCATACCTCTACATCAAAAAACATTGTCCCCATTGTATTTGATCTCTTGAGTATTTAACTTCCTAATTCACTCTGTCTTTTTAAATCACTCTTCCATTTTCCCTTTTCAGTCTTACATCCCTCGAAGCATGGCTAACTCCTACCAGTTTTAATCTCTTTTACTTTTTACTTGTACACTTTTGCTGGATAGTCATGCCTGTTTGTGTATCCCAAACTTTTACTTTAATATTTCCATCCCAAGTTTCATCTCTGAGCTCTCAAGATCACATTCAACCTGCTATTTAATACTTAAACTTTGAGTTCTCAGTTAAAATTCACATTACCAAGATATTTGTCCAACACTATGTTTTCTTCTAGGCACCACATGGATGGGCAATCACGTCCATCTGATAGTGACAGGACACAGACAAATTCCTAGGCAGACAGGAAGGGGCCTCTGGTGAAATTCAACTGTCAAGCCAAAGAGAGTTTATAACCTAAAAACTGAACTGCCTGTTCCAGATAGAGTCCATAACCAGAGTAAGAACTTCTGTCCCTGTCTTACCCCTTCTCTCAATTGGTATCTTCTGGATAATGTCTTTTAGACAATCAAATAGTGCTTTCTCCAAAGACAACACATGACCAAATGCATTCATCATTCTAAGCCCATAAAAACCTCAGACTCAACCACACAGACAGCTACCCACTCCCAAGTCCCCTCTCAGAGCTGACAGCTTTCATTTAGTCACTCAGTAAAATTCTCCTCTGCTTTACTCACTCTCCAGTGTCCACACACCTTATTCCTTTTGGTAGCAGGATTAGAACCCAGAACTAGCTGTAAAACACTCCTGCTCACTGGATGAAAATAGAGAAAAGGCAGTAACACGCTCCCACTCACTGAGGTACAAGAGTGAAGAGCTGTGACCTCTCTTGGAGGTTTGGACCTCAGGACTAGCCAAGTAAAAGCTGTAGTACCCCTTGTGGCTCCATGATTGCTGACATCTCTGAGTCTTTAGGTGCCACTGTATTCCCCTGATCCAGATGCCAGTGCCCATAAGTGGATGGAAGCGACTCGTGGCATGCCTGGTCCAGCTGTGAGCTAAGTGTGAATCCTCAGTGGGCATAGGATCCAAGCAGGTGTGGGACAAGCACAGCCTACTGGGCAAAGCAGGCAGAGCCACACCAGTGGGACCCCAGTGAGGCCTGGACAGAGGCGGTGGCAGCTGCAGAGATTTCAAAATGGCACTGGAGGCATCCTGGCTGGCAAAGATTTTTGTCTGGCAAAGTGGCAGTGTAATGCATCCACTTTTGCAAATCAGAATGCCAGGAGGCATCCTTGATACCTCTTCTTTCTCATGGCACACATTAAATCCACCTCCACATTCTATTGATTTTACTTTCCAAATATCTGTCCCATATGCTTTTGTCTTTCCATTAATACTGACTCTGAACTCTGAGTTGGATCAGAATATTAAATATTAACTAACTGAACATTAATTAAGTCAACTTCATGGCCACTCTGTACTGTACTTTGAAAATCTACTTATTCTCCATGTCATTCCATGTTATAGTGTGCGGCATTATACAAAATGACAGTAGAGGTATTATAATGAGATTAAATAGCAACATAAAAACACCAATATAATTATTATAGAGATCTCCTCAAATTAAGGTAGTTAAGGAAAAGTAGACGGTTTTAGTATATAATTAATTTATCAGCACATAAAACCAATTAATGTAAGAAGTATTGTAATTTAAGATGTAAGAGAGCAGATGATGGTACTTTCTACCCTGTCATCAAAAGTTAGTATATTTTTATTTTTTTATTTTGAGCATAAAACATGTTTTGCAAATAATAATAATAATAATAAACTAGTAAATATTGAAGGAAGTAAAACTGAAATATATGTTCCTTGTGTGTGGGAAAAAAAAAAGAATGTCTGGTTCAACCAGAGTCCTGATTTTTAGAGAGAAAGAATTTTTCTCTAAATTTTTCCCTAAATTTTCTCTCTAAAAATTAGGACATCTCAACCCCAAGCTTAGAATAACATTTGAGACCATAACCATCAAGATAAAGAAATTTATAACAAGAAAATGGTATGTTAGCATTGCATTATAGAAAGTAACCTTCTGAGTAGACATACACTCTCTAATTCAG